GATTCGTGCTCTTTAATCATAAACCACCAGTAGACATGCTCCGTTGTACAATATAATAATGTGGGGGGAGGAGGTGGGTATAGGGCAGAAAGGCCAGAGCTATCATTCACAATTCAGTCCCTTTGGGAGCACACGAGGATGGCGAATGATTTTAAAAACCATTTTCAAGTTTCCACACCACATCCCAAGAGAGTTTTCATGGTATAATAGCGATTTCAAAAGTGCAGTCCTTAGCTTTATTTAGAATAACAATTTCAAAATATTGTAAGGTTTCTATGGGTCCGATGAAAAGACGTGCGTAGGGGGCAGTGATACGGATAAACCAATACACGGAAGAGTTGGGATGTAAATATAAATTGTACGTGACGGGAAAATGGAACAAACAAAATGAAACAAGATCCTTGATATACATTTGTCTTGAAAGCTTTTCGTTTTAAAATCTTAGCCACAGACCTCAACATGTCTTGAAAATCTTTATATGCCTTATCCTTTGACCTAAGACTCTTTTAATCCTGAAAATCATAAATATATATATATATATATTTTTTTTTTTTATATCAGATTCTGTATTCAACTTACGAGCCACATCCACTTCGGTGAAACAAACTATTAGGAAGAGTACCGTGACAAAGGCCAGTCCCATCTACAAATTAAAGAAAAAAAAGGAATAAAATGAAACGTGTAACTAGCATGTAGGAAAATTATCGTCGTGGTGAATCCACATTTTTTTTTCTATGTCGTGCGCCCATGAAAAAAAAATGGCATATCTCTTTAACTTACTGATTGTTTTTGTGATAGGGTGATGGAAAAGCCTCTCGGTTGTTTTGAAAGCATTGTGTGCTAAGTTCTTTTGTTTTATCTACGGTATGATTTGTCCAGCATCATGAAGTCTTAGCTGAAGCAATTAATTTTTACTCCTACACAACGGCTCTTGTTATAGTTGATAAACATTCCACATATCTGCATAAAATTAAATGCTAGCTAATGGTGTGCAAGACATACGAGGAGCGAGCTATTCCTTCCTGCAATGTTTTTCTTGGATCGGACTTAAAGAACCCTGCAATCGAGAGAAATCTATAACCGATAAATTTAACCCAAAACTCAGTTTAGTATTTGAAATTACTTAGTTTTCTCATGTAAATATAATTTAAATACACTTTAAAAGCGCATGAAATGTAAATATTTCTTTTTTGAAAAAAAAAAATTACGAGGCATAAAACCAATTCCTTCTTCACTATAAATAATGGCTCTCGTCTTATCTTCATTTACGGCTAAAAAGTTACTTCTACTCAAACTTGATGAAGAAGGATCTTCAAGAAATGCGTGTGCGTCGTTCTGTTCCTGTTGTTCTCGTAATACTGCTGCCCTTTTCTAGGTGTGTGTGTGTGAAGGGGGGAGGGGGATAGGGGCTGAATAAGTTTAGTAGGGAGGTGTTAGTAAGATTTGAGGATTGAATGCCTTTGAAAGCGTATATCCTCTTCAGTCAGTCTAGAATAAATCCACGCTGTATTAAATCAAGACAAAAGCTTCGATCTCTAGGAGAAAAAATTATATCTCCTCTGAGATCTCTGTACATATTGCGCACGTCAGACCTTACGGTTAAAACACACGCTACGGCTCCGAACTCCCGGCAGCAATAACCCGACCCCCCGGCAGAACTGAAGCACAAGCATGGAATCTAGAATGGACGAGACGCGGAATTCATGCATGCATGTAAGGGATGATTATTTCAAATTCATGATATATAATGCAACTTCGATGCTTTAGAGATTTAATGGTAAGAAATACTTTTCTTGTCATAGTATCCTGCAAACGCCCATTCAGTCTACAAGAATGTTAGGATAAGCTCGCGAACATTTCTTCAATTCAGCGCGAACAAATAAACCAAAGGTGCTTTAGATGTTAAAGAATTCAAGTGAAAGCTATTCAAAGAACGACACTTATATCAAATATCAAGCTGATGCAATACTCACCGTATCTGCGTTGTTCGTCCCCTCTTCCTTAGAAACAACACAAAGGAAACTGATTTTTTTTATTTCCACCTTTCTTATTTAATCGTAATTATCTAGGGAGGCCCTATTTGCGCGTCTGTGTACACGGTCCTATTGTTACATTATTCTGTAATTAAAAGAAATGCCACAGCGATTGACACACAGTGAATTAAAGTTAGCGCTCAGACGATAACTAAGTGCACATGCCTAACTACACGCCGATACATTTCAGAGACAGTGTCCTTAACATTTATGTGAAGCATCTTTAAAAAAAGAGCTCTCATCACTCTGTTGACAATCACACTATTGAGCTGCTGAAGGATATAGTAAAGCTTTCAGTCATGCAAACGTTTCAACCCGCAATTGCTACATTTTACAATTAGCATAACGTTGGACAACAGGTGGCATGTAAAATAGCCTAAAACTTGACGCGTCCAGTGCTTACCGCAGACCAGCAAAATGTTGGGAACATACAAACTACGCTATTCTAGGCAAAACGCATCTTAAAAGGGCTAAGAGCTACGTTTTTTAGCCAATATTCTGGAAGGGAGCATATTAGAAAGGTTCAAACGTAGTGTCCCTGATTTTCTCGTAAGCACGGGCGACATTCAGAATTGTCGCCTCGTCAAGCTTTCTTCCCACAATCATCATACCAACTGGTAAGCCATCACTGAAGCCAGCGTTGATAGATAGAGCTGGGTGTTCTGTGACGTTTGTTGGCGACGTGTTTGGAACACTTTCAGAAGCCCTCTCCAAATATTCTGCAAAATAAATTGCAACAGATGTCTTGATACTAATGGAATTTTCAAGTGAATCAATTACCCAAATACAGATTCTCCCGAAATCTCCATAGTCTTCGAAATGACTGGTCGGTCAACAGTCTAAAAACACAGGATCTGTCAAAAGTGTACCCCAAAGTAGAATTGAAATCTTCGATCGCGTAAATGAAAAGTTCTGGCCGAAGTAAATTGCGAAAACTAATATATCCTATGAAGACCTCGCCCAAAAATTAATACTTTTTGCTGCTTGGAAAAGACATATTGTCTTCCCTACATTTTCAAGAGCTTTAACGTTATTTATTTAGCTTATTAAAGTATTAAAAAGTAATTAATAAATCATTTTTGATGTTAATGTGATGAAATGATAACGATCGGACCTTGCATCGGAGGGGACTTTTCCTTCGGGAAAACTGGTGCCTTCTTTGGGATGGTTGGCAGAATCAACACTTCGTATTTTTCAAGTGCTGCATCGAAGAAGGCCTCTTGCAGAGTGATGTCGTAATACATCTCTGCAGAAGTTCCAAAACCTGCAAAAAAAAAAGATACGTTCAATACAACATCCCGTACTGATAACAAATGACTTGATGTGATGAGGCGTAATCAGAAATAATATAGTATGACATAAAGTGACGTAACGTGACATGAAATTGATATCATATCATGACAAACTTGACATGACATAGGATGGCATCACATCACATCACATCACATCAAATAACATCCATGGTTTGGTTCCACGTGACTTGACATGACCGTTTACCAACGCTGAATACAAAAGTAACCGCAAATGTAATACTGAGCTTTATCATTTTAATGTTTACGAATTGCAAAAGGAAAAATCCTCTTTTGGCGACTGTTATTTATGATCCTTACAATACAGAGGCATTTTCTTTACCAGAAGATCATTATCAGCTAATATATAGAAACACGCTGTAGAGGGCCGAAGTGACACTTTGATTGGAAGTTCCTCTGATCTTTGCATCGTAACAAAATCCACCATGACTGAAGGAAAAGTCTTACCAGCTCCGTCAAACATCATTCGATCGCCTCCGATCTCTAGGATGGCCCTAAAGATTCGACCACCTATCAAAACGCAAGGCCAACGGAAAAAAAAAACAAGGGCAAAAAAATAGATAAGCAAACAAACAGAAAGACAAAAATAAAAATAAAAAAACAAATGACTACGTTGAAGGAGTTATCGTGGTCTACAGGCACATTTTCA